TGGGATTTTTAACCATGTTATGTTCATTTGCATTATTTGTTTCATCATTTCATTTCATTGGCCCTGAAAAACCCCATTGGGGGAGTGGTCAATTAAATTATTATTTTATTATTATTATTATTATTATTATTATTATTATTATTATTTTTATTATTTCTGGCTTTTGTTAGTCTGCTGGCAGCCGGTTTTTTCTCTTAGGGTCACTGAGACGGGTGTTTAGTCATCACAAACACAAAAGCACAGTATGGCGGTGGTCGAGAGGGGAAGAAGGCGAGACAAGAAAAAACCGTCTGCGGACTCTTTAACTTTTTAAACCCTCCGTCAGCCCAACAACGGAGTACCTGATTGGTCAATATGTGCCCAATGACAGATAGTTGACAGAGGGGAAAATAAAGCATCATAAGTTTCGTGCAAAGCATAACAAAGAGTCTCAAACAATGCAATAGCAGATCATCCTGATTATCAAAGTAAAATTGGGTTGACTAGCTTACATGACTCCTACGGTTCATGACATTTGTACATTTGCTGTTATCTCTTTGGTCACTCGACCTTTTTGTGGCTCCACTCGTGTTTATGAAGGGCACTTCATGTTGTATAAAGACCATGCTATGGCAAAATTTTTAGAGGTCATAGGTCTGCTTGATTTCTACTGTTATCTGCATGTTGCTTCATTGAGTTTGACACCTCTGTAATTTGCCATGTGTTTATGCATTTTTGAGGCTCATTTCTATTGTAAGATATTTTTTTAAGTCTCCAAGTATTTGCTTTCGAAGGACAAAAATATGAGATTTACCATTAAAATGTTGCTTACTTGCATTCTATATTGTGATGCTGGGCCCAGCTGTGATTAGAACTGTCTGGAAGTACAGTAGGTAGATTCTTATCATGGAAAATTTGTCCTCATACACTTTCTTCGTAGACGCCGTAGCCTTACTTCAAGTAAGCTATACGTTTCTTTGGAGACATTCTTATGTTTCTTGCAGCTATCTTATCAAGCTTATGTTTCTTGAGCTTGATGTATAGGTTTATTCCTCCTTTTGGTTGTTCTGGCACCACACGATTCAAATGTAGTTGTTTACGCACAACTCTCGATTGTTGTATATGCCATTGTTCGGCTTACATAAACATTCACAAAGTTGAGAGCAATCACTAGAGCACGACGCATTTTTCGGTTTAAGTACAGAAGCAAGCTTCTTAGGTGTTCCTCTTGTGGACGACATCGAAGAATAACCTCTGCTTGCAAAATTCATCCGACAAAAGCATTTGGTATTTTGTAAACATAATGCTAAAGTTTGAGCAATTGGTTCATGTTACTCCTGCAGAAAGCTAGTTGATTTTAATTAGGTAATTGGTTAATTAGATTATTTTTGACAAGTGTGTATGTCCTCAAAAACATGAGAAGAGTCTGCAGTCTGTTTTTCTTCTCCTGCGTGCCATGCCCATGTCTCATCCCATTCCCCTTTACGCTAAAGTGTCATTCCTCATAGCCCCTGCTGAATTTGGAGAGAAAAACAGACTGCCAGCAGTCTAGGCTTTTGTTTCAGACTACACCATCCATCTGTGTTCACAGGCTAGGGTTCCACTGAGTGATTGAACATTGAGTGTCTCTGGGAAACAAAACTCTCTAATTCCTATGGGGCCAGTTGTAAAGTGTTTTGTCTTATTCCTCTTCTAAAAATAAATGCTCTTTTGTTTATACTTGAATGTTTGTTAGTAAGCATACTAAAGCTGTGTGACTGGTTAATGATTTCCACAGCAGCCATCAGCTAGTCATATCTCAAGCCTTAAGTATCCTCACTTTTGCAATAATTATAATTACATTTTCACAAGTACTGATCAATAAGTTCACATTCAGTTGTTATTATTTTACAGGGAGAGGTTTCCAAATGAGCGCATCCCTTGCCTTGAAGAGGTGGTTGATCTCTGCATCAGCCTTGGTTTGCAGATGTACATAGATGTCAAAGCAGCAACACAATCTGGGAGAGTAAGTTATAAAAACAGATATTTACTCATTCACAAACAGTTGACTTTAGACTCTCTTGTACTGCAGTGCACAAGAATATTTATTCCTGTCAAACCTTCTCTGTACAGACATCTCATATAAAAGGCAGTTTACTCAGTTTTGGCTTACTGTATTTCTCGATTAAACACCAGGTCTGCTTCATAGATTTGTAAATTAAAGAAATAAGACCCTCTTAACAAGGAATTTATATTCTAATTATAGTAAGCTTTAGGTTTAATTATAAGATATTTTAAAGCTCTAAAAATAAAGAATAAAAACTCTAATAAACTCCAGGTTTGAATAAACTGCAAGAGTCAATAAATGCCCTATCGGCAAGTCAAGTTTAAGATAAACGCTGGGGGCGTTTAATCGAGAAATTATGGTAATGCTCATGTACACAAATTGCAGTTTAATATTGAAGCTATCCAATCAATTCAGGAATGCAATATTGACGACAGGCATGAAATGAAATTACCATTCTTTACTAGTCTTTGCTACATTTAGGCTAGTTTTGGGCCGCACTTAAATTTTAAATTTTATTTCTTAATTTTTTTTAGAATGTTTAATATTGGAGAATATTCTGTGTATGGGAATTTAGTTTCCCCCAATTATTCTCCAGTCATGTACTTTTTGTTTTTCATGACGAAGTATTATTAAACTTAAACTTAATATTTACTAGTTTTTGACTCATTCTTATCAATAGATCTATGCTGCTGTATTAGATTATAAAACAATTAGAACAGCCTTCAAATCTGGATACTTGAAATGACCTTATTAATAGAGATGTTGAGTCATAATGTACTTTGTATTTTCTTTCTACTTTTTTTAACCAGGCGGCAGAGGTTCTCAAGGAGTTATTTACTAGACATCAGCTATATGATAAAGCCATGGTTTGCTCATTCTATCCAAATGTAATTTTCCAGGTGAGAGTTTAATTGTGTGATAAAAAAATGAAGATACCATACAGTATATTATTTATGAAGGTGGTTAGTATATTCGAAGGAAACTATGGTGGGTGTGCAAAACTGATACACTTAATGACTCCATGACACAATTGTTGAAATAAATAGCTGTGTAGTCATTTTATCAGATGAATAGCATTGTCCATTTTGTAAACAACCAAGACCAGATGGTAAGCTAACCCTCCTGAAGGGGTAACAACCATTAGCGTTTGTGGTATATTCATCTGACAACAACAATCTACAAATAATTCTGTGTTCTGAATACCCCGGTACTTCATGACTTTTACACTGCCTTTTCAGGTACGACGAGCTGATCCAAATATTCTAACTGCCCTCACATGGAGGAAAATGTTTATAGCCAATGAAAGTTATTCTGGTCCATCAAGATACAAAGAGTGGTGGAAACAGCTGTTAGCTCCTCTGTTGGACAGCATATGGGAACTGCATCTTCACTCATGGGTGTATGACTTCTTAGGAGTTTCTGTATTTCTTTCTCACACGGCTCATTTTTCAAGGTATTTTTCTTCATCCTGTCTTTAGTTAAGATTTAGTAACCTGCAGTCAGCCTAGTTCTTCCATGCACTTATTTACCCTTTAGGAGTGCTGAAGGATTAGAGCCTGATGGGAGGTTAGGATTTAAGAGGCAGTGCACGAATCCACATGGGAAATGTGGCGGCATTATAGTTAGTATGTTGAAGTTACGATTGAGCTGCAAAGGTTTAAGGTGACGTGTTCTAAGGCAAGGCATTTGCTCTCTTTATCAATGCTAAATTTTTCAAAAGATGGTTTACTGGTATGCTATTAACCAGACAAATCACTCTACAGTGGATAAATGTTGACAGAAAAAGATACCTTAGACACCAGATAATATCATTGGAAAGTGATTTACCTAATGGATGAACTTGTTATCTGTCCTTTTAACAACCAGTGTCAGGTGTTTTAAAAATGGGTACCAGTGATCTGTTAGGGAAACCTGACAGAATACTGAGGAGCACCCTGTGGTGGGTTAGCACCCCATTCGGGGTTTTCACCTGGTTCTCAGCAGGAGGACAACTTGTTGTCACAGGCGGGCAAAACTTTTTGAACTGAACTTCTTTATAAGAAAAATTTTCCTCAAGATGGTCTAACCAGGCGGCCAAAATCGTCCTCACAGCTGGTCATTTTGCTCAGTGCTCCGCCCTTAATAAAACCCCAGGGATCATCCTGGGAGATGTAGCTGCAATGCTCCTGAATGCTTCATCCCACAGCAACTTACATAATGGAAGGTTGGCCCGAGTATGAGTAAAGCTTTTACCTACATCAGCTTTGTAAACTATTACTTTCAACTCTTCTTATGGCAGACATAGTAGGTAGCTAGAAGTGGTATAGATGCTTTCCTCTTTTGAAGCAGTTTACTCTTTTCCTCTTCAGAGACTACTTAAAAGAATGGCAAGACAAGGGAGTGAGTGTAGTTCTGTGGACTGTCAACCATTCTGCCGAGAAGGACTACTTTTCTGGAGTACTTAGGTGCCCCATAATGACAGATTGTGTGAAAGGAGATTCACAGCAAAACCCTCCTTAACTACCTGATTCATGTTTGTGTTGTCACTTAAATGTATTTTTACAAAGGTTAAGAAGTTATATTTTCAAGTAAGGTGAAAGCGGCATTGACAAGAATGGGTTAAAAATATTTTCATGGTCATAAGCAGTAATTATTTTTGCATGCTCAGAAAGTGGGTCCTGTATTATGGTGTTGTGTCATGCATGCATACAACAGCTGTTTGAGTTTATGATGAAAAGATTATTTCAAGAGGATTAATAATGATTGCGTGAATTCAGGTGTTCTTGGTGTGGGTTGTATTTAAATGAGGTTATTTAATTTGTGAACTATTAACAAAGGATCACATTTATTTATTGTTTCATGAACCAGTAGCCCATGGTAATTCTGAGTTCTTAGGTGTTCAAACGAAGAGCACTACTGGTGCATTGTACCATACCATAGTGTAGAAGATCTAGTGGCCTCATGGTTACTGATTTGTACTCTGGGTTGAGTGTGCCAGCTTGTGTGCTGGCCAGGTCATTGTGTTACTCTCAGACAACTTGGGATAACAGTGTACGCCACGTTGGCCTGAATGCACACTTTTTCTAAGTTCCATACATAAAACCATAATGTGGAAGTGATTCATTCAACTTCCTAGGAATACCCTGTCACCTTTCCTTGCCAATCAGAGAAAATAGCTGCGGAAAGAGTCATTGGCGATCTTACAAATCTCATAAAGCTATTTGACTTCTAACATCCACTTCATCCCACTATTATTTTTTGTGATTTATTTGGCCACGTGACAGGGTTAGGTTAAAAGCGTAGCGTTTGTTGACAGTGGTTCTTGAGGTAATCTTTTTTACTTGTTGAAGTGGTTTTTCATTCCACAACGTAGCATGTCAAAACATGTCTTCATACTAGTGAAACCAAACCAAACATTTCGTCAATGTTAAGCATGCAAGTAATTTTATGCTGAGCTTAACACTGGTAATTTTGCATTTTACTTGAAATTGTGCTCTACTCTTCGATATTTAGTGATATTTAAGAACTAAAATGTTTCTGGAAATGGTACTTAATAAAACAACTAATAATATAATTTTTTTCAGCTAAATTAAAGCCAATATAAAAGTAATGTTTTAATAAAGAAATGGTTAAGATAAGGTTTTGTCGCCTCCATGTAACAGATGTCCTTAAACTATCTGATAAGAAAGTTATTCTTCATGGCGATAATGTAAACTTTTGACAATTTGAAGAGATATTTCATCTGTGACAAACGCAAGTGACTAATCAACATCTCTCTGAATGGTCAGAGTTTAAAATCACGTGTTATTTGAATTCTTTATAGGACACTGCAACTACAAGATAAAAGAAATGAGGTATAAAGTGGGAGTCTGCTTCAATTGTTTCAGTCAATTAAAAGAAAGTAGCTGCAATCACGTGTCTGCTGTTAGCAAATACCTCTATACGTAACCGTTTTAGATGAAAATTGTCGCTACTGAAACTATTGTAGATAAAATTTGCAACCAAAATGAAAGAGAAAATAAACGAAATGGTGTGGGGATTCATAAACAAACGTTTAGCTTTAATTCATGAAAACGCAAAAGGACATTGTTAACTTTAGGGGAGTTAATTGTGCGAGTTATTGCGCGGTAATGTTGGCGAGTGAACTCTGTGTGATTTAACCCGTGTTTGGAAATAAGACTACGTTGTGAAGATGCGGGTAATGATGTGAAATATTGATGCTCGAGAGTGTTGCATAGAAGGGTTTTTTGTGAAATCAAGTGGAACGTAGCAAGAACCAATTAAAACAGGTGGCATAACTTATCAAGAACCAGTCAAAACAAGGGGCAGAACCAAGCAATAACCAATCAAAAAGGGCGTATCCAAGCAGTAACCAACCAAAGCGGGGTGGAAACTTGCAAGAACCAATAAAAACAGGGAAAACAGATACGTTCTTGTTTTGTGATTAGTTTCAAAAGAACCCTGCTTGTTTGGTCTGCCTTAAATAGCGCCCTGGAACAAGCCTTCGGATGCTGTCTTGTGGTTTGAAATGTTCATTCGTTGCAAGCTGTTATGACGCTAAGAGGTACAATTGACATGCCTGGTTTTGAAAAATCGCTCTTATTTGTGGGTTCGTAACGAGTGGATAATAGGCAAAAACATCCCTAAGGATATCTTGCGTTATGTATAAGAGCATTCTTTAATCTGTCTCCAAGGTTAAAAAAAATGTGATTAAGCTGCTTGTTTAGAAGATATTTCTGCTCTGGTCACGCGACTTACACAGCTTTATTTTATTTTATTTTATTTCATTTTTCAATTAAATGAACATTTAAAGAGAAAACATTCGCACAGGACTAAACTTACATTACATTACTCTACATTTCTATACTTTTTTTTCTTTTTTTCCTTCTATTTTTTAACAGCTTATTAACAGCTTATATTTAGGAGATCCAGTGATGTAAAAAACGTCCTTCTGATCGAGAGCTTGGAACCCTTCTTAGAGCTAAATTTTCGGTAGCTAATCCAAAAGTTTTAATTAGACAGCGCGCCGCACAAACTGTGTACAAATGTATATCTCTTATTCATTTATCTATTCATTTTTTGAGTGTCCACAATTAGTTATTTAACCTAAACATTCCGACACTTGGACAAAGTTCATTCATGTTGTATTTACAAATACAAATGATGCCTTCACCCTTAAAAAAGCGAAAGCGTTCGTTTTTTAGAAAATTCTTTATACTTTTTACCCTTTTATATTTTATAAATAAGCTTATGTTAGGAAAACGTGTAAAAGCAAGGAAAGCAAGGAATGCAGATGAGAATTTACCAGATTCCCGCAAGGTTGAGTAAAAAAGAGATCGAATAACAGAGTCCTAACCATACTGAACCCACGATGAGATTCTTACAAATAATTCCCATGTTCTTAGGAAAAACATAGGTGTTAAAAAACAGCGTCTGGTAAAAGAGCACGTACGAGACAGCGACATAGATCACGGAGGCTAACATGAAGTTCAACATGGGATATCTTGGTATGTAGATCAGGATCTTCTGTGCGTCGCCAATCATGTAGATGTGAATTTGAGAAAGGTAAGTCTCCAGGGTGATTTTTCCAAGCCAGCTGAAGAGGCCAAGATAATGAGAACGGAGAACAGGATGCATGTTCCTGAACCAGAGATAAATGAGGATGACAATCCAAGAGGTGAACGGATGTATGACCATGTAAAATTGCCTCTCTTGCATCAAGATGAAATGAAACCAGATCACTAACACACCAAACAAGGCTACGGTGATCCAGATTTTTAGAAGCAGGGCCACTTGCTCCGCGCGCCGATTTTCGTGCTTTTTGTCTAAGTAGAGAAGAAACTTCTCGATGTACGGGTAGTTATATGCACACAGCATACCCACCCATGTAGCGCAGTGGTCGAGCCTGGAAGAAAAGAGAAAGGATTAGGGAAGGACCATTACTTTTATTGAGCGAGGGAGGGGAACAATTTTGGGGGGAGGGGGGGGGGG